ATATATTATACAGTATGTGAGAAACTGTGGCAAACATAACCAAAGCATTAGATTTCTTGAAAAACTATGTGTTTTTTTAAGTGGGGTACATGTATTTTGATTGAGTTTTCAAAATACTTTTTATTTTACAACAGTTTATAACTGGAAAAATTACATTTATTTTCTCTTTAATAAAAAATCAATTGAATTGCAAGATTTTTCATAAATTAGTTAATACCAATCTTAATGCTATTTTTCTCACTAAAATATAGCTATATATGCAATAATCCATCGTTATGATTTCCTTGGAATATGATTTAGCAAATTAAAACAATTCTAAAAGTATATAGACATAACTAAATGTTTTCTTAGAGTTATCAGATTGAGACTAATCTGACCAAATTAACAGCCAGGTTCACTGAAACTATATTTGATGAAATTTGTTTCTCATTAACTTTTGTTAATTTTTTAAAAAACAAATTGATCAAGCTTTCATTTCTTGCAAAAATAAGGCCACTAAGACTCTAAAATCATTCATCACCTGCATTTTTGATACTGTGCCTTATTTTCTTATTTTATAAGTTCGTCTTACCAGGTTTTTAAATTTTATGTTCTATTGTTATTTCAGATTTGTGTGCATGTAACTGAATCTTGTAATGTGCTTGGTTTAGATGGAGATATTTAAAGGACAATTAAGTAGACATGTGCTATGTGACTTCCAAAGGATGCCACTCTGAGCTCCATGCTAACGGAGCCAGAGGTCACTTAACTTTCCCGAAATGTAGCTTTTTGTTCTAGTTTAGTTTTGATGCTGTCTAATTTTGATGCAAGATAATTCCATATCTACAAGCTTAAGGAGTGTGTAAGATAGTCATGTAACTAAATTCCCTTGCTTTGGTTGTTTCATCATTCTATATTATCACTGCTACTTAAAAATTCCATTTTTATGGTCCAATTATCTTTCTGGACTGAGTTCCATGTTTTAATATCCATTACTGTTATTGGGTTAGAATTGAGTACATCAGCTAAAAATGGCTAAAATGGTATTACTATGTCGTAGATGATTCTGGGAATGATGCTTTGATTTATAGCTTTGGATGTCCTTTTCTTTAGTTTGAGAAAACATAAAAGCCAGTTTGAAGTCATTTACCTAATTTAGTGGATACATTTGTCTGATATTTTATTAATGGAGAAGTGCTATTTGCTGCTTGGACGGGATCCACAACCTGGTGTGGATCTCTGCCAACACAGAGGGGGCTCGCTTAATTCCTTCACTCCCTCCCATTTATGCCTTTTAATTTTAGTGTCCACTCTTTGAAGATAGATCTTCAAGACCCAAAAGCTGCTAATTCCTTTTTCTGATATTAAACAAAAAGAAGGAAATCAGTAGAGAGATGGGCAAGAAGTGTTTTATATTGAATTATTGAGCAAAAAATGAAAGTGGCCTAAAAACGATTTGAAAGCAGTTTCTGCAGAGACTAAAAATGGCAGGAGTAACTAAGAATTCAAACTGGGAGCCACAACTTTTATTAACGTGCCTCCTAGCCCTAACCCGCCTTTTACCTCCTCATTCCCCCATGAAAATTAGCTGTTAGTATGTCTGGACTGCAGAGAATTTGCCTTGGACTTATTTGTTCTCTCTATCCTTTAGAATGAACACAGGCAAAAGATTGTTTTGGTTGTATCGAAGCTGCTTTACATTTGTTTAGCTCAGAGATAAAAGAAGAGAGACTTCATTCTGTGTTTTAAACCATTTTAACTTCTAGATAGATAATTAGATTGGAAGTTGCTAAACTCAATCTACTTATAGGTGAAGAAATAAAGCTATATATTATTACTAAAGCATTTTCCAAGTTTTGGAATAACTGTGTTCTGTCTTCTCGCTTTCAACTTCTTTCCTCTCCTTCAGTCGCCTCCATTCCAACAACCTGTATTGTGACTGCCACCTGGCCTGGCTGTCTGACTGGCTGCGTCAAAGGCCCCGAGTGGGCCTCTACACCCAGTGCATGGGCCCCTCCCACCTGAGGGGCCATAATGTAGCTGAGGTTCAAAAACGAGAATTTGTCTGCAGCGGTAAGGGAGCAAGAACCTTTGTGTTGTCGTGTTTTTGGATGCTGTCATGTAAGAAAACCGGAAAATGTGCACGCTTTACAGGTTTCAACAATACCATCTAACGTGTGTGATTGTGCACTGATCGCTCTATGGAAATCCTCTGTTTTAACGATGATAATAACATGTTCTAAGACATTCGTGCACAGTTCGTAATTACTGATTACTTGTACCGAAGGTATGGTGAAAGACTTTTCAGTTTTCACTCCAGGGGAAATATAGGAAATCCCTAGATTTTAGTTCTATTTGCTACTCATTATTTTCCCTTTAAGTAATCATTTATATCTACTTTTATGTTAACAATTGGAAGTATGATTAATTATTCCTGGATCTCTGCTGGGAAATTCAAAAAGTAACTCGATGGTAGTTGCAGAGTGACAAAATACTTTTCGTGTATACATATATACTAGTGGTTCAGTTCTACTTAAAAGAGATAAATGACTAGCTTTAGTAACAAAAATCTGAAAACTGAAATGAGACATTGGCTAGTAGGTGACATTTACTTAGTTATTTCTTTGTGCTTATGTACAAATCTAAGTATTTTACACATATTTATCTCATTTCACCTCCCTCATAATTGTAGAAAAATGTAATAGTATCTTTTTAACCATTTTTAAAATTTTTATTTTTTAAATTATAATTGACATTTAATATTGTTTTGTATTAGTTTCAGGTGTACAGCATAGTGGTTAGACATTTATATAATTTACAAAGCATTCCCCTAGGTCTAGACCCATCTGACACTGTACATAGATATTACAATATTATTGACTATATTTCCTATGCTGTACTTTACATCCCCAGGACTATTTTGTGACTACAGAATTGTACTTATTACTCCCTTCAACTTTTTCATCCAGCTCCTCTAACCCCCCTCCCATCTGGCAACCCAATTTGTTCTGTATATCATTGAATCTGCTTCTGTTTTGTTTGTTCATTTATTTTGTTCTTTAGATTCTACATGTAAGTGAAATTATATTATCTTTATATTAGAGATTAAAAAGCTGAGAAAAAGATGCTAAATAACCATGTCCAAGGTTATATAGTTGAATTTAAGAATCTCAACCTAGGCAGTCTGATTCCCGAGAGAGAGAGATTCAGATATATTTATAAAATTGTATATAAATGTATTGATCCATATTAAAATATAATTTACTCTTTTTTTATATTTTTATTTGTTTTTTAAAAATTTTATTTTATTGTTTCAAGCATACAATACACTGGTTAGACATTTATATAGTTTAAAAAACGATCCCCCTAATTGCTCTTTCTCTCCTCTGGCTCTCCACCTAGCCATTACATTAATGCTAACTGGATTAAAGGCTTAAATGTAAGACCGAAACCATAAAACTTCTAGAAGACAACATAGGCTGTAAAGTCTCTGATATTGCTAACGGTCATTTCTTTTCAGATGTAATCTACTTTATAAATATAGGGTTGGTTCTGCCTCAGAAGTATCTGTTCAAATTACAATAAAAGACATTTAAAAAAATGTATGTACTACATCATAAATAGCTAACAGTTTCTTAAAAAAGAAGTAAGATGATATGCTAGTATAGGATTCTAAGTTATTGTTATCTTTTAGTCCTTTTTATGTATTTGCCCACACTTTTTATAACTGAAACAAAATTTTTTTATGATGTCATGGAATGTTCTCAATAGGTCTGATTGCTTTATAAAAAAAAATAATGAAATGACTAACCATTCGTTATAACCACTTTTTTCTCTCTTCGCTTCTCCTTCCCTGTTTTCTAGACGAGGAAGAAGGCAAGTTCACGCTTCTTTTTTAGACTGAGACTATTTTTGTAAACCTTGAGAGCTTGTTGAGGGTTGGGTCAGGAACTAGCCTGCAGCCTCTCTTCCTGGCGTCTGCCTCCACCCAGGTTCTCCCCTGCAGAGTCGAGAGGGCTGTCCCTGAGCCAGTAACCATGCTCGCAGGTTCTCATTTGTTATCATTCGAACAATAAAATCTCATTTCAAAATAGCTCTGTTTCCAAATAAGGAGTAATGAAATTATATACCTGCAGGTAACCACTTGTGCTAAAATTCTAGGCCATGCAAAGGCAAAAACAAAAACAACATATCGACTAAATTACAGAATGACATGTTATAAATTATTATAATAACTTCAAAGAAAATGGTACTTTTGAACCTATCCAGACATTAAACAGCATGATCTAATATTTCTCCACACTTATCGGCACATGATTACTTATTTAGACTCAAGAGGGAAATTTTACTGTTTTGTTTTTTTTTATTTTTGAGATAAAGAAAGTTAAGCTATATAAGTTCAATAAAGACCAAGCTCTATTTAAGCTTATTAGGAATGGAATACCGATTAGTCTGAAGTTGCTGCTTTTTTTTGGAATTCAGAATACTTTTGAATAGAAATCTAGTTTCTAATCTGAATTTAGCCTTTCTCACGATTATTTCAAGTCTTAAAAATTATCTTTACAATTACTTTTTAAAATCTCATTTGCTTCATCTGAGCATTAACCCCAAAATATAAATTCATGCTTCCATAACTATATTTTAGAAAGACAGGCCCATTTTATCATCAGGTACTGAGAGAAATGTATTTTTGTTAATTGACATGCTTTGTTATTTGAGATAAGCTTGCATGTTTTACAGCTATTGTTTCAGGAGGGAAAATATAATTGCTGTGTGTTTCTTTTTCAGGTCACCAGTCATTTATGGCTCCTTCCTGCAGCGTTTTGCACTGTCCAGCTGCTTGTACCTGTAGCAACAATATCGTAGATTGTCGTGGGAAAGGTCTCACTGAGATCCCCACGAATCTGCCTGAGACCATCACAGAAATGTATGTGCCCTGAAATTCCCTCTTATCCCTCCACCTCCCCAGTGACCCAAACCATGACTTTCCTTAGGAGATTCCCAGGTTATCAAAGGCAGATCTGATCAATTAGCTTAGACAGATGGTCCTTTCAAACTGGTATTGACTCTTACTCTGTTTAATTAAATATCTTGTTGAGGTGTCTGAGATTTGTTTTTGTTTTGTTTTGTTGTTTTTTGTTTTTTGTTTTTGTTTGTTTTTAATCAAGGTAGAATGAAAAGGAATGTATTTTAAGAGTAAATAGTGCCTTTCCTTCCCTTGAGAAGGGATTATTAGGCTATTTAGGAAAAACTAAGAATGGCTATACCTAGTCTGACCCTTTGGGCCTGTAGATCTGCCCCTGTCTATTTCTAGGCTGGAGTAGGAGAAATAAAAGAAGGGCTCAGATGGGATAATAAATCATAGAAACAAGATAACTAGACAGTGTTCTGTCGCCTCCAGAACTCACATTTTATAATGCAGTTTCACTACATTGTTTGAACTGTTGTATAGTCCGCCACAGAGTGTATAAAAGAATATTATAAAGAAGAAGTATGAGATATTTAAATTAATGAGCACTTTAGCCTATCTGAATCAATGTTAAATCCATCAAAAGTTAAATTCTCTTGACAAAGTATTTTATACCTGTTTTGTATGCAACTGCTGTGTACATTTGTCTTTGCCAAACATAAGCCATGTGGATAAAACAAGGTCATGTAAGATGTGAAATGGACTGCTTTTACCATCTTGAGAAATAAGCATTAGGGAAAATCTTTACTTCAATATCCATTAACTTAGAAAGCGCCTTTTAACCACCCAGCCTATCATATTATTGTTTTAAAGATCAATTCTAAATTTTAACTAAATAAATGTCTTTGGGCATTTTTAGTCCAAATAATAAAATAGGACCAACTTCTTAAGATATAAATTTACATAGTAGGCACAAAAAAAAAAGTTATTTTTTAAACTATTTATTCTTTGTTTATTTTATTTTTATTAAATTTATCGGAGTAACATTGGTTAATAACATTATCTAAATTTCAGGTGTGCAACTTTATAAATGACCTCTGTATACTTTATTGTATACTCACCACTCAAAGTCTAGTCTCCTTCCATTTTTTCACCAATTAACTGCTCTAATTTATTTTATATGAGAATAACCTTAATTCGCAAGACTGACTGACATTACTTTCAAGTATTTAATGTATGCTTTAAAATGTGCCTAGAGCTTTGCAGTATGAGACAGGATTCTCTGTGGGAACTCTAGAATCTGTGGAGATTTGACACAGACATGGAATGATGTCTGCACATAATATTATTCTCATAAAATTTTTACTTGATAGAACACTGCCTTGCCCATAGAAGGCATTTTTATTTTCTTTAGCCGAAACTTGAAAGAAGAATAATATATGGTTTAAGAAGAAGTGGATGATATTCCATGAAAGAAAAAAGCAGGAACCAAGGTAGAGGTGACAGTGAGCATTATGATTCAGAGATTATACATTTGAACCTAACTGAAGTACTAGGTACATGTCGAGGCATCACAGAAAATAATGTCTGAATAAAGGCACCTCTGTAATTTTAAAGCCACAGATTGTTGGAGAACTTTCATCTTGGTCAGAAGATATGTGATTAGCTAGATAGTAGAAAGACATGTTAAGTTTTAGAATAGGGAATAGTATATTCATCTATCCAGACACCAGCATTTATTAAGTGAGTACATCTACATAAAGGCAAAATGAATTCTCCAGAGATCTTCCATCAAGTGACTAGCAAATTTGACATGCAAATTAAAAGCTACTATGAAATGAGGTACAAAGTAGTAACATGTTGCAAAACAGAAAGAAATAAGATTGAAAATATTTATTCTGAGGGTATAAAGTGGAAGGCAAGTTATTATGGTGGTTAATTAGAGTCAGAAAGCTTTAGTTAGAACTGCTGGTCTGCCTACCATTTATCTGTGAGATCATGGGCAAGTTACTTATCTTCTAGGAGACTGTCTTCTCATTTGAAACTAAGGGTTGTTGTCAGTTTGAAATGGAATAATTAACATATGTAGAGCTTTATGTGCTTAGCATATAGTAATCATTCAATAAATGATATCTCGATCATTGAAGCCTTCATGTAGGAGGTAACAGATGCAGTAGATAACAGATGAAGTACCTTGAAAGACAGGTAGACCAGAAATGCAGAAATAGAAAAGGACTTTCAACGTTAATAGAACATCATAAGCATAGGCAATAAGAATGGAAATATAAGACACTACTAAACAGGAACTCAGTTTGGTATTTCAAACCTGAGAGATTGCAAGAAAATAAATTTGGAAAGGTAGATTGGACCCAATTCATGGAGGGCCTTTGATAGTCTAAGAATCTTAGTCTTCCTTTGGAATGCATTTGAATATAAGAGTGTTCATCTGAATCTTCAAGAATTAATCTGAAAGCTGTGGCCAGTGATTGACAGGAGAGAATACCAGGCACGAGGCCTCTTAGGAAGCTGCTATGCTGGTTGAAAGGAGACGTCATAAGAGCTGCAGCTAGTACGTAGCAGTAGGAATGATGATATGGAAGCAGATATGAAAGCTAATAGAGAAGCAGAATTAATGGGATTTGAAATTTGGTAAGATGAGGGAATAATGGAGAAATATGAACCAAAGATGATGCCAGAGTTTCAAGTATGAGGGATGGGAAGATGATGGTTCTATCGTTGTTTATAAGAAGCTGAGGAGCAGAACCAAACCTAGGAAGGACGATGGTAGTGAGCGAAATTTGTGAAATACTGAAATACCATGAGATACCTGCAGGTACTAAAATAGTACAGACTATAAGGATTTGGAGCAAGAGAAGGACTTGAGGCAAAGGTTTTGGAGTAATTAATATTATAAAATATAAAGTAGATGGTTACATCCATAAAATGGCCAATCGAAAGGAGAGCCAGAGAAGAGAAACCCAAGGGGATTAAGTAAAAGCAGCAGAAGGCTGTGATAGGTAAGGGAGGAAGGGCTTCTGGGAAAAATCTTCTGAGTCAGATGTTCTGGCTGGTGAACCAGATCGAGGTCTGAAAACAGGTCTTGAAATTTGACCAGCATATTGTTCTTCCAGGATTCAAAGTAGAGTGATAGGTAAGGAAGCCACTTTTCAGACTGGGAAGAAAGGGAGTGCATGATGACTACTGGAGAGAGCAGATATGGAGCAGTTTGCAAAGTTTGGCCGAGAAAGGGTTTTTTGAAAATGACAATCACTGTAAAGAGCAGACTTGGATTTATTCTAAGATGCAGAGAGCTGCAATCAGACAATCAGAGAAAGAATGGGATTAGAGAGAGATGAGAGTGTGAGAGAGTTAGATAAGAAATATGTGGGGACAAGATTGTCCTGGACACAGGAGGAGATTGATCAAATCCTGATCCTCTAGGAAAGAACAAAATGCTGTTGTAGGTTGACAAAAGGAGAGTGTGTTGTAGATGTAACAGACTGAAAGTAATGTGAGACTTTTAAAACGCTTAATCTCATGTAGTCTGTTTTATTTTTTACAGTAGAGCCTTTCTTGTATTTCCTATGCTCTACAGATTTTGTATAATGGTGGAATTTAGTTACATAAAAGTTATAGTAAATAATATGTCCCATTGCGTTTGCCTATATTGAAGTGGTGTGTGCAGTATAACTACAATAAATTAAATGTATAAGTCCAAAATATACGTGAAATTCTAGGTGAATATTACTTCTCTGATTATTACATTATCAACTTTATCAGTAGAGTATCTAGTAATAAATCATATTGATCTTCAATGCCAACAAAATACCTACCCCCATTACCATTCAGTGTAGTGGCATAATTTACTAGATTAGTAGTTTATATTTTTTATTACTTTTATTTTTTATTAAGATAAATAACGTCAGTAAGATTCATAAAGTTTAGAAATAAAGCTATGCAATATCTTAAAAAATATTTTTTATAGATTCCAGATTTTTAAAACATGATGAACTGAAAATTATAAACTCCCTCCATATTTTTCAAATATATTTTTAATCTGGATTTTATAAGAAATTATCGTTAGAATTTCTTTATTGGAAGTTATCAGACATTTCATTCCATAATCTTGAGTTGATTTCCTACTGTGTCTTTATTCCTGTAACTGTTTCATAATATAAACCTGACAAAAAGAATGCATGTGCTGTGTTTCGGAGTGATCAACTGCCTATATATCTAGGTAGAAAAACTTGACTCATCCTTTTCCCTTTTATGCTTTGTGTTTGCATCTAATTACACACTACAGGTATTGGCTTAGTCAGTAGTTTATTAAGATATAGGAGGGAAACATTCTTTTAAAGTCAGAATTGGAATAATTTGGAGAAGGAAGAATAGAAAGAGAATAACATTTATCTAATACCTGTGATGTTGGATGCTACGCACATGTTATATCATTTGATCGTCTCATTGATTTTGATGAGTGTATCTACACAATTTAAATAAAATAGGAAAACTAGTGCAGAGGCATATGCTAGATAAACATTGGTGGTTTTCTCCAAGAGGCCTTGTCATCCTGATGATTTTACCATGGTCCAAGATTGGCCTCCGTCTTTGTAGGTTAGCAATCTGTAAAATCAATACACACACACACACACACACACACACACACACACACACACGAATTTATTTTTTTACCATCTGTCTTCCCTACTAAAATAGAAGCTCTAATGCAGGCAGGAACTGATTCTGTTCTAACCACCATCGAATACCTAGCAACAAATCTAGCACCTGTCACACAGTAGGCACTTGTTAAATATAAAATAAATATCTAATGAACGGATAATTTAAAAATTAAACATTTAGAGCAGTTTTATCTCTGAAAGGATAGAGCCATATTAAACAAAATTGAAAAATAAAACCTTAAGGAACAGTTCATGCTCTCCCTGTCAAAAAGAAAATGGTGCTTTTTAAATATAAAATCGGTAAAAGAAAAATTAATGAATAGAATGTCTAATGGAGTG